CTTTTCAAATTTAAACTGGAAATAAAATTAAGAACTTAATGAAGACAATGCTTTTTTTAGCATATTCGAAAATCGATTAACGGTTTGACAATGTCTCCTTCATAAAGAGATCTGTTTACAATGTGTGCTGTGATAAATCATTGAATAGACGGTCGAGTACAATGAATACAAATAATGGCAAAGTATCCTTACATTTGATACATGTAACAACAAAGGGAAAAGTGGCTTACGTGATATTCATGTGATTATCTTTTTTTATCTTAATCATATGAAAATTATATAAATATATTTCCATGTGAATATCACATGAATATAAGTTTATATAATATTCACACATATATTTTTTTAACTTTCATATTCTTTGCATGATATTAATGCGATATGCTCATGTTTTCGTGTCTTTCATGCGAAGAATTCACATGAAATTTATGTGAGCCACTTTTGCCTGTGAACAAAGTAATAAAACTATACCAGCATACAAAGGGAGTTCTTCAAGAATCAATTGATAGTGTCAATTTTGTTTAATCTACAGCTGTTACATTTGGTTTATTATTTTGGGATTGATTTTGATTTTTCGTTATGTACATTGGAGAAAACATATTTTACAAGTTGCATTTTTTTTTTAAAAATCAGAAAAACAACATGACTTTCAACATCAGTAGAAGCAAGAACGGACGCCCAAAATATCAGAGGTTGTATCAGTTACTATGGATTGAGGAGTGATCATCTCCTACAGACCGTGTCATGATCAGGAAATAACGGAAACATCTGTCGACAATTCAGTGTATAAATGATGGCCTTCGTGTAACAATAAGTATGAAAAAAACCGGATCAGAATTTGACTTAATAATAGATTATATATAATTACAAGGTTTTTGTATCGACCATACAGTGGCTGAAATGCTATTGTTGACAAATTAGGTTGTACAGGAGCAATCCCCGCGACTAAACCTGTCACACTAACTATAGCTCTCACACAGGATGCTACACTTTACACTATATTTCGCAATTTTTAACGCAAACACACTATTTTTTACATGCTTCATTCACAAAAAAATTGTTTTATCTGGGTGTTGGTATTTCTAAATCGAGATAAGGCTTAAAACTTATTCTAGATTTAAAATAATTATTGATTCAACATTTAATTTATCAAGTTATGAAAACTGTGAGAAATATTTTGAAATGAATGCTTTAAAATTAAATCAGACAGTCATTTTGGACAAGGAATGAATTTTCTAAAAAAAAATTTCGATCGATACGTAAAGATCATGCTCTATGTTTTTGATGGGCTCTGAGTTTTGATTCTATTAGATTTTAATTGTTTTCAATCATTCATTTGCAAAAATTTAAAATTAATGTACGTTTCAGAGATGAACACTGTTAAAAGTAACCCCAATAATCATTCATGTACAATTAGATTCCACTTCCCCCTTAAAAAAACTGTTTTCCGAGGCACAGCAAAGGGAAAATATGAAATATGGATTCTTGTTGGCTCCTATAATTATAAACTTTTATTGTTTTATTATATTAAAACCAAAATAACTCTATTTTCAAATCTCGCAGCTGAATTTCTATTTTATTTACATTGCAATTATAAGTTGCACAATAGAAATATAAATAAGGTAGAATGTAAAGAAAATTTTGATAAATAAATACAATAAAAGGTCTTTGCATTTGAATTAATTGCCTATAGAATACGTGTATCTGCAAGCAACTTTGATTAACAGTTGTTAAAGAACATTTAAGAGTACAGTGCAACAAAAATACTAGTATTCTACAAGTGGTGTAAATCAGATGTTGATACCTAATTCTTTTTGAAAACTTTGAATAATTTTTTTTCCAAAATCAACAACGTAAACCTTACTCTTTAAAAAGTTATATACAACCATTTCTCACAACAAATTAAAGTATAATTATTTCCCACGATAAATTAAAGTTCAGGCTAATTGATATCATTGACAGCTGCTTTTTTTTAATTCAGTAATAATTATGGAACTCATTTATTTACATGCATGTACCTTTGCACTGCTCATTTGCAAAACTATTTCGTTTAAACATTCTGGTTGTACATTAAAGTGCTCTTAACGAGGCCCGATCTACTTGATCTTCGCATACGTTTTAACGCAGCGTCGACTCAGGCACGTCACAATACCCTTGACTGCCGTCACAATTGAACACAATAACGTCACAATTAAAATGACGTCAAATTGCGCTAAAATGTTTCGCTGATCTTGCTTACCTGGTAGCTCTATAGACTATGCATTGAAAGCTGGCATTTCTATTATTTTTTTTTTTTTTTTTGAATATCTAAATTAATAAACAACTTTGGAACCTAATTAATTTTGAGGGATCAATTTTTGGTACAAATTAATTAATTAATTTTATCCTGTTTTATTTCAATTTGTGAGTTAAAAAAAAAACAAACACTGCAACTAAAAGTAGACGATTTTAGTCTTTCTCTTTGAACACGTTGAAGTGTTATACACACTCTTTTTATTGCGGACTTCAATATGCATGGATTATCTTCAGTTTTTTAAAAAAAAGTCTATAAATCATTTAAATTGAACCCCCGAAATATTTTATTTTTCTTTATATTACATGATATTAGTAAAAATCGCAATTTTGTCGCCTTTCCCCCTCCCCATCCTCCCTCTACCCCTTTTTTCCACGTAAAACAACGTCGCGTGTTAAGAGAAAAATAAAGCATGGCGAGAAAATTATTTCATAATGTAAGAATTATTTATTTTTTAGAAACTAATACATTATTGCAATCGTTAGTTGGTGTTATGTAAACCCATTGTGACCTATAAAATAGGTAGTTGGATAGAATAAATCCAAATTTTGTGTTTTGACATGCCTCCTTTTCACTGCAATACAGGCTACCTCCAATTTTCTTTTCATTTTTTATAAGAAGAATGAAAATTGCATGATATATGTGAAAAACAAAGAATTTCATCATGTATTTTTTTTAATTTGTAAATTTCTTTGTTTATTGAAGAGTTTTAGTATGTAATTGTGTATAAAAACACGAAAAATGGTCCATATCTTGACAGTGCCCCCATTTTACTACAATAAAGGCAAGGTAACAAAATTTCATTCTAATTTTTCTAAGCATAAAACATACAAATATATTTCCAAGAATTAAATTTTTTTATCATTCCGTTTTCGTAATTTTCAACTAGATCGGGCCTCGTTAAGTTGATATTTATAAGATGCTTGAGTATCTGATTGACATTATTTATGTGCTGTTTGAAGACTAGGTCTTCCAACAACCTTTTTGAATTCTCTTGGGTACCAATGTTATGGTACCCCATTATCAGCAAACCTATTTGTGTATTAAATGAAGCAAAATTTCTTCAAAATCCTATACATGAAAAGAAAAAAAACACTTCTTTTGTTAACAATGGTTATTTCAATTCATGTGTCGACACTTTAGATCCCGGTAAAGTTGAAATAAAAGATACCACAAAGTTTGACACATCTGTTTTACATCTGGATATATTGATAAAAAATTACCTTAATGGGTATAAATTATATCTCTTCTGATTTCTCACTATATAAGAATGAATTGATTTATTTTTTTGATTCACTTAAAAAAACTGATTTCCCGGAAAAATGCACATCAATTTTATGAACTTATACACAGCTGTTTGGAACACCTAGAAATTCTTTTAGATCATACTAAAAAGACTGATGTGTTAAAAAAAATCAGTAATAAAAATAATGCAGCAAAGTGAAAATTATATATAAGGATATGGGACTTATTATTTACAGGAAAAAGAAACTCGTAATTGTGAAGTCAACATTGTACATTTATGTGCACTGAAATCTATAATAGGATCATTTAACTAGGATCACAATGTAATTTGATAATAAAAAAATGTTTTATTGAGGAGCAAAGAAAGAGGCTTGGTAGAACATTAACTAGAACCCACTATGTATCTCTACATTATATTTTTTTAAGTTAAGATATCCAAAATAGGTATCGTTATTTATATTCATTTTGGTCGTTGGTTGTTGGGAAAATAAAAAATATTCAAAACTGACATAGAATTTCGAAGAATTTGTCCTTAGAAAGGGTTCTAATGACTTTACGTTCGGATTGCCAATTGTGGAATCAAATCCCGGTTACTCTAAAATATAATTAAGTAATGAGTCCTACAAACAAAGAAAAGTTATTACTTAAAAACTCCCATAAATAGAAAAATGACACAATTTATTTCCAAGATCATAATTTAAAAGTAGTTAGCATATTCAGATCAAACTAATGGTCCATAGTTACAAATACTAACTAAGATAGAGTCTTAAATAGATAATCATTTTTTTCTGTTTAGAACAATAATTCATGCACGTATATCTTCAATTAAATAGGAACTATTAAGACGGACAGACAGACAAACCAAAATTTTAAAATATCCCATACTTTCAGAGGGACACGATGAATTGTTTTCATGCAATCTGGTAAATAGTGATACCAAATAAAAGTGTCTTTTTCCGTAAAATATTCTCTGTAAATACTCTTGTTCAAAAAGACAGCTTTCTACTTTCGAGGACATAAAAATTTGTTAAAATTAAAAAGAAATCCGCGTTCATGCACCAATAACTTGATATATAATAACGTGTAAATAATTATTTGATATATAGCAATTTTGTTTCTGAATACTGCATGTATAAATCCAGCTGTCATTCTTTGATATTTACCTTTTGTCAAAAAGATAAAATTAATAGGAATGCTAATAACGCTTCAAACTGTTTCTCACCATAAATTTTCTTGTCAAGCAATTCGAATTCTGTGTAGCTTCGACATCTGCGCCAGTTGCTTAAATGTATATAAGTCTATCATTCAAGTGTGCGTTAAATAAAAAAACTCGTTAAAATTCATGAAAGAGTTACGTTTTTACATTCTTTCAAACCACTGATATATTTTAGCCTCTTTTTTATTTAGACAATTTTCTAAATTATATTTAAATATGTATCCTACACAAAATATTAATTTTCAGATGGCAGATGTAAGAGAAAAACTACAAGTAATTGTATTTTCCCTGTGTTTGGACCTGGCTTTCAAAGAAGCTTTGAGTTTCAAAAACAAGTTGGATGGTCCTCTTAACTTCAGTTGTCGATCCCCAAATAAATTCATTGATGCAATAGTATCATTCCATAGCAATCATTATGAAGACAGAAGATACGAACTCCTTTGTGGTACAGCTCTAAAACATGGGAGGGATGTAAATTGTCATTGGACAGGTAAAAGTCTTTACATTATTTCGGAGTTAAAATTTCAAAAACTAGCTTTCGATATATTTTACAGTAGAAGTGAAATTATTTTTATCCAATATTTAGTTATTGACTGTCTAGAACATTGACTCATTTTCATATAACCACAATGAGAATCGATAATCAAATCATTATTGAGGTTATCATTTTTTCCAGATAAAGACTCAAATGACAAACAAAATTTAAACATTATGGTAGACTTTACAATAATTATTAATTTTCTTTATTACGTATCAATAAACAATTATCACCGGCATTCATTTATAATTGTAATTTTACCCCAAACGATTCAATTACCAAGAGGATGTAACAACTAATTTTAAAGCTGGGGCCTTCTCAGGTATTTCCAAGAGTCCATGTTTTCTTCATTACACCTATTGTTTACAATATTTATGAGATTTATCACTTTCAACTTCATCTTTTCTTCATTTTTGCAACTTAAAGGATACGTCAACGACTTTGATAATGCAGTCCACTACCGATGTCCTGGTGCCGGGTACATCAACGGCATGGCAAGCTATCACCACAATGCTTATGACGATAGACGCCATAAATTTCGTTGCTAAAATTTAAGTGCGTTTAATACCTCGAATCACACTGAATAAGAAAATAACGGTTACCATAATTTTTAAATAGTGCAAGCCACTTTTTCGTACATGATTCATCCTCCCGTACTCTTTGCCAGTACAAATGAATAATTGTTCTTACAGTTTTGTTGTAATTTTTTAAAACCCTACATTTTCAAACTGGTCATTTAATTGTGTTGTGGCTACTATTCTGCTGGTACATTATACGACTTACTCTATACATAACCCTTGCTTCTTCATTGCAGATTATCAATACAAACAGTGTCGTTGGACGGGCTGGGTAAATCATTATGACCAGCCAGTGGTATATTTTGTACCAAAAGGTTATGTCCTGCGTGGAGTCAATAGTGTCCATCACAACCATAATGGGTTTAGCACACATATTCCCTCATAACACTTTTTTTAAATAATTTACACATGCATGTTTAAGCTATGTTTTATACAGAACATTTTTTTTCAGAGATCGACGATTCCAGTTTGAAGTTTGTAAATTGGTGAAAAAGTAACATGCTTCTATGTAAAAAATGAAATAATGAAATATAAATCGAAAATTATCTTTGGTTTTTTGTTTGTTTTGAAAAAGTATGACTTTAAGTAAAACCACTTAAATTTAGAAATTCAACTGATTCACGTACGTAAGTGTCTATAACCAGTTAAGGTACCAATCTGGCACATACATGCGATCTTCAAAAGATTTATTATGAAGTTACGGACAGTATTTTCACCATTAGTTAACTAACAGACAATCTCAAATCAACGGTCGACAGTGACGGCGTCTTTTGCTATTACAATAGCAGTTTGTCCGTATATTTTGTACTACCTGGGGACTCAGTCAAAAAGACTTCGCTAAGAAAATTTCCATTTCATTTATATACTAAAGATCTGGTGATTTTTGTCATATTTTCTTTCTTCTGTATTCATTTAAAGTCTTTTAAGGTGTCTTTACAACATCCTAATGTAACTGACCTGCTCTCCGGTGCGCCATAATGTCATCACTTACCGCGATTTTTCGTGTATTGTGTTAACCACTATCCCATTTCGAATGTTCGGGAATCTGCCAAAAGTTAACCAAATGCCTTGAAATTTTTTATAAATATGACTAAATTGATTAGGGAATCAAATTATAATTTTCATCCCAATCATAAGTACTGAAAACTTTTATTACGAATCAATTCTTGTGTATTTTCTAATTTAACCTTGTTATTTTTAACGTGCGCCGTAAGACCGTACCCTGTGCACATTCAAGCATAATAGAGTCTTTTTTTGTCTGTATATTATCAAAAACATAATGATGCACTTAAATGTGTTAATAAACATTTACTGAAAATTTCAGCTTAGTGCGTCCATTACTATTTCGAGAAAAACGCTTTGTCTACGATTTAACGGGATAGCCCTCGTATGCAAGTAACAATTAGAGCCTCTTATTTCGACAGTTTTGCGCTTATTATTCAGTCTAAGGATTTGCTCTGCTTTCATGCGTATAAATATTTAAAGTATCTGTATTCATTATCATAATTTAGTGTTCAACCAAAAACATAATTAAAGACTGATCACAAACAAAAACAAAGAAAAAAAGATAGAAAAAATGTGAGATCATCCCGTACAGAGCCATCTAATTGCGAAACAGAATCATTGAATCATTGTAAAACTTCCAGGGTCCTTTTTATAAGATAAAATTAAATAAGATTAAAAAGATAAGACTTTCCTCCGTTTATTTACATTGAGCCCAATCTCCACTATTGAGCAGACTGTAGTTTGTACAACCCGATTATTCCTACAAAGACGTTAAAACATGAAGTATCAACCAAGATTTATGATAAACGTGATTTTCAATCGTCACTTAAATTAATTATGTAACAAAATACCCTCACAAATTTTAGTTGATTCGATGTGCACGCATGCACTTTATAACAATGATTTCAAAAACAATGCAAATTATAGGCCTTTATAATCTATGGTCATCGATATGAAAAGGATATTTCATTCATATTCACTTATACTTACCTCTTTTGATGAGAAGCATTTTGGATATTCGAAAATAAGTAAAAAAAAAAAAATTCAAATTAAATATAATTGAACATTTCTAAATGAAAAATAATCATGGAGAAACGGGACATTATTTAATAATTTTAATTTTTTTTTATTTTATGGCAATAATACTAATTTGTAGGTTTATTGATCGCAAGCAACCAAAACATAATTTGGCGTTATCTTGATATTTTTGTGTTTTTGATGCTTCCATTGCATGAAAATGCTTCACGTTCTGAGAGAAAAAAATCTTGAATACAGTCCAGATACACAGAAAAAAATAGAAACATTGCCAAATTATTTCTGGCAAAGTTTTTTTATTCATAAGAAATATTTATCTTTCAAAGCATCGCCTTTTTCGTGCAGTGCTGATTTTGTTTGTAAACAGTTTTAGATATATGAAAATCAAATCTAGGATGCATTGTGTTCCATATATCATACATTTATTAAATTATAATGATATCGAACGTTGAGTATTCTTAAAGGTTAAAAAATACAAAAAATAGCAGAACCAAACACAAAACAGATGTGGAAATAGATGTCATATCTTTTAATAATTGGAAAATATGCATACAAAAAACTAAAAATCCATGTTGCCCTTTAAATGGGTCACAGATATCCAATGATAAAAAAGATTGTTCCATATATATTTTTTTCAAAATTTCTTTGATGAGTAAATGTAAAATAATATGTGTTACTTTTTTCTGAGTAAAAAAAAAATCCTTTCGCTGAACAATACAAGAGGCTCAGGAGCCACATCGCTCACCTGAGCAATTAGCTAAGAAAAAGCACATATCAGATCAGAATTGAAAGTTTACTGAGGAGGGTGGCTTGCATATTAACCCCAAAGGGGGTCATGATTTGAACAAACGTGAATCTACTCTACCTGAGAATGATTCCCTATAAATATCACCAAGCATGGCTTTAAAGTACTTGAAAAGAAGGTTTTAAAAGGTTTCCCTAGATATTCCTATGTAAAACTTTTATCAGCCATTTGGTCCGACCCGACCCCCGGGGGTTATGATTTGTACAAACTTGAATCTACACTACTTTGGGATGATTCCACAGGAGTTTCATCATTCCTGTCTCAATGGTTCTTGAGAAGAAGATTTTTCCTATGTATTCCTATGTAAAACTTTGATCGGCCATTTTGGCCCCACCCTACCCCCGGGGGTCATGATTTAAACAAAATTAGGTTTACACTACCTGAGGATGGTTCCACATGAGTTTCATCTTTCCTGGCCCAGTGGTTCTTGAGAAAAAGATTTTTAAAGATTGTTCCTATATATTCCTATGTTAAATTTTGATAGACCATTTTGGCCCCGCCCTACCCCCGGGTGTCATGATTTAAACAAAATTGAATCTACACAACCTGAGGATAATTCCACTTGAGTTTCATCTTTCCTGGCCTATTGGTTTTGAAAAGATTTTTAAATATTTTTCCTATATATTCCTATGTTAACTTTTATCGACCATTTTGACCCACCCTACCCCCGGGGGCCATGATTTGAACAAAATTAAATCAACACTACCTGAGGATGATTCCACGTGAGTTTAATTTTTTTCTGGCTCATTGGGTTTTGAAAAGAAAAATATTTTAAAAATTCCATTAATTTTCTCTAATTAATAATCATTTCCCCTCGGAAAAGGGCGTGGCCCTTCATTTGAACAAACTTGAATCCCTTTTATCCAAAAATACTTTGTAGCAAGTTTGATTGAAATTGGACCAGTGGATTCTTGAGAAGAAGATGAAAATATGAAGAAAAGTTTACAACAACGACAAGGACAGACAACGGACAAATTTTTATCAGAAAAGCTCACTTGAGCATTTGGCTCACGTGAGCTAAAAATTACATTCTAACTTTTATTCGTTTCTTGGTCCCCATTTTGAGCGTAAACTCCATATTATATATATTTATATTCCATTCATACAGTCATCTTTGTATGTATAAACCATTAAGGGCATTTAAGTTTTCATTTCTTTACAGGCATGTACACTGCAATACTTTATTTTCCGAAGCGTTTATCGATTTTTATTACGTAAAGATTTCTTTCTTATTTTATCCAAGGAGAAAATAGATTTACGTTTTCCTTTGCAGCATTAAATACACCAACTTTTATTTAGATACCAGGTAAGGTTATTTTACAGATTCTGATAGTGTTTAGCTTTTTTCACGCACTCCCCCTTTTACCTGGGCGAACAACCGGGAGATATATTTTTGCTTATATGTGTGTCAGACTGTTTGTATGTTTGTCTGCACAAAGGTAAGTCTTACCCATACGATGTCCATTAGGTTAAAGCTTTCCTCGAGTCTTAATTATTTGACCACAAAACGGTAACTTTTGAGTTTGAACTTCTTTTGAAATCAAACGAAGTTCAAACTCAAAAGTTACCGCCCCTTGCTTGTCGTAAAAGGCAACTAAATTGAGCGGTCCTTCGGATGAGACCATATAAACCGAGACCCGTGTCACAGCAGGTGTGGCACGATAAAGATCACTTCCTGCTCAAAGGCCATAAGTGCCGAACATAGGCCTAAATTTGCAGCCGTTCAGCGGCAATGGTGACGTCTCCATATATATAAATATTCTGGAGAGGGACGTTAAACAGTATAGAATTAATCAATCAACCTTTTGAAATTTTTTTTGTTACCCATAACTTTAAAATCGGTAATAGCTATCGTTTTCAAATATCACTGGGTTTGTATTTTGGTTACCAACTATATATCGATTTTTATTTGGAAAACTGGTAAAGTTATTTTTCCAGGAAAGATTATTATCCTAATTATCATCGGCCCAGGACAGTTGAAACTCAGTTCAAAGTAATACTCAAAATCATAGGCAAACGTAGTTGATGAAACAATAATTTCTGCAGTCTCGTTTAAAAGCATCCTTTCGAAAATTCTATGGTCGATACAATGACCTTGTCAGCAACTGCAATTAAGTATTGAGTCAAAAGCTGAATTGACAACGGTATTAACCATTTTTTCCCGCTCATGACAAGGCAGGGATGAATGGTCGGCAGGGGATGCTCACTCTTACATGGCACCTGATCCCAGCTCTTATGTTTAATAGGTCCGTGTTTGCTCTGCTCTTGTTTTGTATTTTTAAGTGGTCTTTATATCTTGAATACTGTTCGTAATCTCCATATAATTGATGTAGGAATTTTTTTTTCAAAATCATATTTAGAACGACAAAGTTACATGTACATGTGTGTTTCATTTATATAGTGCATTCTCAAGTAATAGAAAATTCAAGCGCTGCCCCACCCCACCCAAGTAAACTTTTTAATACTGGGCTGATTTGTGTTTCTACGTAGCCATGTGCTCAGATGAGCGATGTGGCCCATGGGCCTCTTGTTTCAAGAAA